AGGAGGGTGGCTGCTGGAGCAGGTGAAACATTTTGTGTTCAGAGAGTTCCACCTCTTGGCAGGCAGCTTCTCTTTGTACCCATATGTGAGATACCCAGAGGGAAACAGACTTTGCTGCTGCTCCACTTTCTCTCCTTTTAATTTCCATTTTCTTCACCTTACTGTTTTCTACAAGGGATTAACTCAGCAGTTCCATTTGGACTAGAAGGAAAGGTTTAATTCAAATTATTCAGAGACTTGACAGGCTGTGTCTTAAATTTTTGGACTCCATCTAGCCCTCAGCTAATTGAAATGTTTTTTAATTAAAAATATTAATGAGTGATTGCCCTTTTTTAGAGGATACTTTTAAGATTAAGTCTCTCCAATATTATAATTGGAGTAATATGCACATGCCCTACCTGAAAGGCAATCACAAACACAGAGAATTGCACACAGTGTTTGTTTTATACTCCTAATGTTTCATTAGATGTTTGCTGGTTATGAATTATCTATCAGCTCAAACATAACAGTTAATTCTGGATGCTTCTTGAATCATTACCCTGAATCTGAACAAAACACTGTCCTAGAAAAAGGAGAAGACAAGGGACTGCTGCATGGTATCTTTTAGTACATAAAATAAAGCCTTTTAAAATAGAGATTTTCAACAGTGCTAATTGATTAGCAGAAGGGATAGAGAAGAAAATGTGCTCTCTCAAACAAAAGGAGGGGAAACCCCTCTCACCAGCCTGGCTCAGCCCCTCTCCACTTCCAGGCTGGGCAGAATCAGGTTCCAAGAGCTGTTCCTGGGGCATTTTCATGCATCTCTATCCTACTTATGAGTTGTACCTTGGGCAGTCTTGTTTTCAAAGTTGGAAAAGTGGTTCTGTTGTTGATTCAATTACCTGCATAAGCTGATATTTGAGTATGACATGGATTCCTTAAAGACTAAAATCTGTGAGGTTCTATTAAAAGCCAATGGACAATGCAGGGTTATTGCAGGAGGCAAGCCTGGCTTTCCCATGTCAGGAGACATAAAATACATAAATAAAAAGAAGATAGATGGTTGTTTTTCATCAGTTGTTCAAATGCAGGATGTTTTAAACAATTTGAGTCGGTACTAATGAGTCTCACATTATCAGAACCTCATCAGCAGAATCTAAAAAATTGTATTTGAACTCTTTCATTGAAAGTTTCTATTTGGCAGAACAAAGTAATTGTTTGTCTCAAGCACAAAAATGCTGTTGAGAAGAAAGTGAAGCTGGTTTGGAATCTGCCAACTTAGGAATTCTTCTCCTCTGGATTCCATTATATCTGAACCACCTTACTTTTTACATGGCTACATAATTTGGATCACAGCGTTTCTGAAGTTATTTAATGGCAAGAGTTCTCATGAAAAAAATCCCAACTTGCTGCCTTGTCACACCACTGCTGTCCACAAGAGGTAATTATGAAAAGGAGAATAATCTGCCAGTCACAAGGGGGTTTTATAAGCTATGCCTTTTCCCATTGATTTTAATATTATATATATTTGCCTTTCTAAAATAAGGATTAGTTTTTTCCTAAGGAATTAATGCTTGATAATAACTGGTGTGATTTTTTTTTCTCCTCTCTAGTGTTCATAATGGCTTCTGGGCTTTTGGTTTACCCTTTTGGTTTCAACTCTGCTACTGTGAAGAGATTCTGTGAGAACTCAGACATCTACTATGCAGGAGACTGCCAGATTGGATGGGGGTACATGCTGGCAATTGTTGGGGTCATGTTGTCTGTCTTTTTACCATTCTTTGCAAAATATGCACCAAAAGAGCACATATCTCCAACTCCAATACCTACTATTTTATAGTATTTTATTACTGTCTAAGAACAGAACATTCCTGTCTACACTAATGGGCAGAAATTCTTGAAGCACTTCCAGCTGGCTGTGTTGCTAAAGAGAGGAGAGGAGATGGGGAAGAGAAGGTCAGATTGACAAAGACCAAAAGTGCATTGAAAGTCTTCCGTAAGCACGAGCAGCGAACGCTCTGGAATTGAAATGGGATTAATCAGCAGCCTTTACACTGCTCTAAACAGATCATGGCATACTGCCTTAGACAAAAAATAATCAGTTTATCCTCAAAACATCTGTCTACCTCCCAGTTTCTTTTGTGTCTCAAAATTGTGAGTCTTAAAAGCTTCAATTCACTTTTGATATATTGTGAAATGTCAGAACTTTTATGAACCCAGTAACTTTAAAATCAATAATGATATTTTGTTACAATTATTTTGATTAGTGAAAAAGCACCTACTAGTAGCCACAGCCTAAAATTAAAATTGATAGGTAAAAAACTGTATACAAGAAAAGTTTCTTTTTAATCTGTATATATTAACAGCACCTGCATATTTTAAGTTCTGGGCACAGTTTTTAATTCTGCTCTAAATGCCAAGATATAGAGACATCTTCATGAACTCTCGGGTAAAATTGAAATTTCTTTTCTTCTGAGAGGTCCAACTACTTCCAAAGGCTTAATGATGATCTAATACTTAAACAACAGGGAAAAAAAATCCTAAGAATTAAAAATAATTCAGTATTTTTAAAATTATAATTCTAAGTGGACTTTTACAAAATGTTTTGAACTATGACAGCTATAGTTTTTAGGTTTTGTTGTTTAAGGCTGAAAAGAAAAAAATCTCTGTTTACAAAAATGTCTGTGCCCAATGGCCCTTATCTGTAGTGATAATACAAGCCAGAATTAAATAATTCCAGTATTTCCACTGCAATTCAGAGTCCAGGTTGTAAAACAAAAAAGTGAAGTGAAATGCTATTGAACATGACCAGCAAAAATCTGATGCTGTGTCAGAAGTACAAATGGCCATATTTCATCAGTCCGTAGGGAAATTTAGTGAGGTCTGATTTCCACAATAGCACTGAATTCATTATTATCAAGCTTTGAAATAAGTGCACTTGATTGCCTTAAGCAAAAGAAACATTGGGTTCTAATCTCACACCACTGTTGTGTTTTTTCATTTAAAACAAAATTTTAATTCTAATTCTATTCTCATCTTTTATTTTCTATTATTTATTAAAAAGAAAAATCACATAGATTATATTTAATTCAGAGCTGTTCTTCTTAGTTTTGTATTTTGGCACAAACCAGGTGATCAAATTTATTATTCTTCACTTAGCTGAGTCCAACTGATTCCTGAATTTTTATTTTTTTAATAGAAGGTGTACATGAAGGGACAGACAGAGACATGTTGAGGATGTATAAGAAAATGCAAACAGAACAATCACTGTGTTATTTTAATATACATCAAAGACTTCTGCAGTCTTGTTTACATTCCTCACCCTTCTAAACTTCAACGGAACATTGCATTGTTTTCCAAAATAATTGTCCTGTTGTTACATTTCCACACACTCTGAAAGCAATTTCTGCACATAGACTTAGCAAGTTCTTTGGAAATGCAGATTCCAATGCAGAATTAAGTACACTGAGAAAGAGAGCATGAGTGCTTTGCACTTTTAAATCTGAGAAATTAAATCTTCCAAACATTTAACAAAATAGGCTGAAGGAATGCCCTAAAGTAAGAAGAATAAATTTCAGTCACTTCTGTATATTAATGTGCTTTTCAGTGATGTCTTACACTTTTTTTTTAATGAATGGCTGAGATTGATAATTTTCATGTAAGAGTCAGAAAAGTGAGGAATAACAAACAACATGCAAAAAGAAAATCACCACAAAGTAGAGAGACAGAGATGCAGGCTTTTCTTTCCTAACCAACCTGTGCCTTTACACTAGAACCATTATACAAGACAGGATCAATATGGTCAAGAAAAAAATCACCCAACAACTGAAAAATGTTGAGTAGTGTGTATAAACTGTATTGAGTAGGGTTTTTTATGTTTTGTGTAATGTTTACGACTGTTCACTTAATGTTTCACTAGAAAAAGTGATTTGTTAGTGTCAAATAGAAACTTCTTTTGCAAAGATCTAAACACTTCCTGAAAAGAAAAATGAATTTAGATTTTTATTAACAGCCATAACATACCTAGTAGACAAAGGACCTATTCCTGTCATTACTTATTAACACAAGTTTCACATGTGCAAAACTGGAAGCATCAATCACTTAACTGGAAGCAGTTTTATATTACTGTTACAGCAGAGTCTCACAATTCACAACACTGCTGTACCAAATCCTTTACTTCTTAAAGCTCAACTTCTCTTGTGCAAATCATCAACCTCTGCATCCTGCAAAATTCTGCACCTTTTATGAGTCAAGCTAATGCTTCCATTAGGAGCTTCCTTTAACATTTTATAACATTTTTATAATATTTAAATAAATCAAACACGTGTACATGACCTCTGCAACTGGATTGGCAAAACCCTCCTTGAAGCATCCGTGCTGTGAGCCCACCTCACACTGCAGTGTGGTGACAATTCCAGTGATCCTGCAGTAGCTGGTAAAGCACATCCCTCAGATCTCCCCTGTTGCTGACAATGCCTGTGCTCACACTGACAGATCACTTTTTAAAATAAAGACTGTCTGCGCGTTAAACTGTGTAAAAGCGTTTTCCTGTTACAATTTGCTGGACCAGGTTCAAGTTTTATTCTAAATATATAATTTTTTAAGTGTAACTAAAAGCTGTATTTTCCATTAATGTGTTTCTGCGTTGACTAGCTGGCTCCTTTTTAGAATATTAACTGTTTTCTGTATTTGACTTGTTGGATACAATATTTCAATTATTTTAAATGTGAAATTTCCAATTGCCAACACTGTATAATAAAATAATAAAAAAAAATCCCCATACTGTTTGCTATTTTCTTGACAACTCTTTTGTTTTGCAATTCCCAAGAGATCTGCTACAAAGCTTCTGAAGTAGGGGAAAAGGAAATAGGAACAGCAGGAATAACCTATGAAAGGTAATGTTTGAAGGAAAAGGCACATAAACATGTACATGGTCCATCTGTCATGGAAGACATTTCTGTGGCAAAGGCAAGGAAGTTCTGTGTTCAAATAATTCTTTCTTTTCTACTTCCTCTGTGTCCTTGGGAATCTTCCTACAGCCTCAGGGTCTGTTGTTATTTTATACAGGTATTATACTGACTATTTATTTTTTAAAAAACAAACCATTAATCAGGTAACACATAAATGGGAACCCAATGAACACCACACAGCATTTGTTGGATAACACAGCACAGTGATATTTTCAAATGTCTAACCAGATTTTCACTGGTAGTTTGGGTAAATGTTGTAGCATGTGCAGCCTTTATGGGTAACAATTAGTTAAAACTGGGGTTTGGACAACCATTTTGACTTTTACATTTCATTCATAGTTTTTACATATGCTGTCATCTCAGCATCTGCAATTTTAACAAAGTCTTGGAAAGTGTTCTGTTCTTGAGCAGTTGCTGGTCTTACAGAGACACACTTGAAAATGTTCTTTTTTGCATCATAGGTTCCCATGCACCTGTGCACTCGACCTCTAATGAGTCGTGGAAGCTCACGGTCCTTCATCAAAGCATAATAAACACATGAAACAATTACATCACCTCACATGAAAGCTTCCCACATGGCTGGTTTCTGAGGGCTACCAGAAACCTAAACAGTTTACATCAGCTTTGTTCCTGTTACCAGACACTTAAAAGCTAAACTCAAAGTCTCACCTGTTTTTCTGAAACAGAAGAGGATGCCTAAGTAGTGACTATTGCTGTAAATTGGGAACAGTATGGTAAAAGCATTCAGCCTGCCTTTTACACTGTAAATTTATGTTTTCTTTTTGCATTCATAAAAAGGGTTGGAGCTAGTGGTGACTGTGTTATTTGTGGACACAGAATACTCACAATTTCATAAAACACACAGGGCAGGGTCTCCTTTCCATCTCTCAGAAGAAAGTTCTTTGCCCCATATGCTCCAGGTGTGACTGCAGAATCCAGTGTGCCTGTCCCGTTAAGCAAAAATTAATAATTCCAAGATTAATTGTATTAAAAATATTGTAAAACGGTATCACTCTACAGAAGATTCCTACTAAACAGCCAATTAACATGTTCTAAAAACAAGGAAAAGAAAGAAACAGGACAGAAAAACTTGATGTTGGAGGATGACTGAAGTGTTAATTTTGTACCTGGTTCAGTCACCTTTGATAGCTGAATGGAAGGGAAATTAGATGGTGTTCATGCCAGTATTTTGTGGATTTAAGTATTTTAGCCATTGAAAAATTCTCACTCGTTGTTGAGCATTATTATCAGATTATATTATTACAATCTATGATGCTTACCTAAAACTTCAAATAACAGTGCAGTTTTATAGGAATATTGGCTCCAGTGCCTCACACTCTGAATGACTGCAGACAGGATTCGCAAAGAATTCTTTTTTATTTTAGTTTTCGCTTGAGATGATGAAATTTCCTTTCGGATGAAGACAAAAGCTTAAGTTAGACATACACACTTGCTATTTCAAAGGGCACACAGGCATTTATTTATTATGTTAAATAGGCAACAATTACATTAAAATTAGAGCATTTGTCAGAATATACAAACAACTCCCTGCCACTTTACTGAGGATTTTAGATTATTACAGTATGAAAATCTCAATTCGAAATTTCCAGAAACTCCGGGTTTTACTAAGGGCTGATGAAAACCTCATCATTTTCCACCAGTTTTCTTTCTTTGTTGCTTTCTTCATTGTGTCTTTCCTACTAACCCTGCCCATAAATTTTACCTGACTTTTGTCTTCTGGGACACAACCAAATTGGTTTTCATTCATTTTATTTTGCTGATTATTGTAGTTAAATTTATATGCTGGATTACGATCCTGCAGACTTTTTGCCACAGTGTTGGGTTTCACTGGCCACTGTCCTTTGGATGTGTCTGTTTTGATGAGCTGGGATGGGTTACGACTGTCAGGGTGTTTTTGCTGCTGGACAGTTTTCAAACTGCTTGAAAAGTTCTCAAACTTCTGAGAAGTTCCATTATCAGATCTTGGATTTGCTGTTTTACTTAGAGGAGTATATTCATTTCTGTTCCTGCAATACAACAGTTCAGTATCCCAGTACCTCTTCTGAATACTGAGCTATGTGATTAAAGTATATAAAAGCAATCCATAAATTGTTGTTTTAGCTTTAAATATCTCCAAACTCACTTGAGTTTATACCAAATTTATCCATATACAGGGCAGTGATTACACCTGTGCACAAATCCACCTGATTTCAACAGGCCTTAAAACCCTGCTCAGTTATTGTCCTGCCCTGTGTAACAGATCTTTCCTGACCCAAAATTCACATATTTTCATAACTCTAAAATAAAATAAACAAGGTTTCCTCTGAGAGTAAGATTAAAAGGGTTTCTTTGACTGCTACAGGCATATGGGAAAATGTGAGATGCATTTTCACATAAGAACAAAAAGGAAGGGTAATAGACATTAAAGGCCTCACCAACCTGCAGGCAGACACGTTTTTTCCAGCATTTGCTAAATTAAACTTTGATGCATTTGGTGGTTTCATAAGGGAAGGAGCCATCGGATGTTCTGCTTGGCTTTCAAAGACAAGTTTAAAGTATCAGTGACACAGCAGCAGCTTTATTGTAAGACACACATGGATTGTTCATTAAACAATTAACATCCAAATAAAAATCAAAAAAGCAACAAATAACTTGCTTTTTACATACCCACTGTTTGCTGCTTTCTGCAGTTCATCCACTTCTGGGTTTGCAGTTCCCCAGCCTAATTTTCAAAAGACAAAGGACTGAATATTGATAAAAATGGAAAAGACTGAAAGGTAGTAAGTCTTTGTAGGCCTCCAGTTCTGCTTAATGTCCCACAAACAGGCTCACATGGGAAGGAGGAAGAAAAAAGAAATAAGGGGAATGTGATCCTTTGATATTTGTAATTATAAGACAACTTCTAACAAGTAGGTTGTTTCTCTAGACAATAGTTCAGTGACAAACATTAGATTTATTAGCAACAGAGACTTTACTGTAAGAAAACTTTTAAACTTTATTACAAGTAAAACATAATGAAAGCACTAAAAGCAGAATTCTGCACCGTTCTTTCCAAGCCCCATTTGCAGAACAGAAGTTCCTTTCTGAACTACAAGAAAGACATCTTACAAATGTTTCTTCTTGTAACACAGGACTTGAATGTTGATTGAAATCAACTGAAAACAAAAGGTCAGTTTCAAGACACTCTATTTAAATGCCAGCGCTACTTCATTCTCCATCACACAAAGAGTCAAACTCCCTCAAGCAAGAAGTATAAAAAGCTCAATTGTACAGAGGAGAAAGAAATTTCCTGGAGGACAATTTTTACATAATGAACTTTTCAGAAATAGATATAAAGGAAGCATATAGTTCTTGATAAAGACAATGTCTGATTTCACAGAATACAATCAGTAAATTAAGATTCATTTGGACTTAGAGGCAGTAAAAAAAAAAAAAAAAAGTCTTATTTACCGAATGATGAGGGAGAGAAGTCATAACTACGAGTCCCAGAACCAGTATCTGGTTCATTTTTAAGTGGATTTGAAGTCAGGGGCTGTCTAGTTCTTTTTTTCTGATTGAACAGTGGTACAGGCAGACAACCTAAAATTAAAATTTAAGCAATGGTATATTAATAGCAAAAGAATACACAACCCACACTTAAAACAAGTACATAAAATTACTTAATTATTTTACATTACACATACGAATTGCATTTCATAACCACATAAAAGGCCATTCCCTCACAGAATTTATGTTCTCAGCCCTCTGTCCTGCACATAATCGCATTAATGAAACCTTTCCCTCAGTGACCAGTTCCCTGAATCCATCTAAAATCTCACCCTGTGCTGCCATAAACAGGCAACCCATGCAAGTCACCTCAGGAAATGGGGATTTAGGGCTAAATACTGAATATCCTGTATGAATATGACATATATAAATATATTTTATGTCTCTCTAAAAGCATAATGAGGTGTGAACAGCAGGGCATATAAGAAGGGCTGGTACCTGCTGTGCTGCGAGTCGAGGTGTCAGCTAAACTCCTTTTCATTTCTTTGCTGAATCTTAACAGGCAGCAATGTATTGATTTCTCCAAATTTGCTGTATGGAAGTCAGATGAACAAAGCAAATTAATTAAAGCTGCAAACACATCCAAATTTCACATGATTTTATGGCAGTTTCTCTTAACACTGCAGCTCAAATAACTGGCATAATTTCGAACAAAATCCTAAAACACAGAAGCAGCTGTACTGAACTTAGAAGATCCACAGGTGCAGGCCTAAGATGCAACTGCTCTTTGCATATTCCAGGTCCTGAGGGAGTGAGGCTGAGGGTCAGGGCCATGTTGAGAGTCAGCACTTACCAGGCTGAGGGACAGACCAGAGGGATGGGGCTGAGGGACGAGACTGAGGGTCAGTGCTGAGGGTCAGCGCTGAGGGACAGGGCTGAGGGTCAGTTCTGAAGGTCAACACTAAGGGTCAGCCCTGACGGACATGGCTGAGGGGTCAGCGCTGAGGGGTCAGCCCTGAGGGTCAGCCCTGAGGGATGAGGCTGAGGATCAGCGCTGAGGGTCAGCCCTGAGGGTCAGTCCTGAAGGACGAAGCTGAGGGTCAGTTCTGAAGGTCAGCACTAAGGGTCAGCCCTGACAGACAGGGCTGAGGGTCAGTGCTGAGTGTCAGCACTGAAGGTTCAGCCCTGAGAGTTCAGCCCTGAGGGACAAGGCTGAGGGTCAGTTCTGAAGGTCAGTGCTAAGGGTCAGCCCTGACGGACAGGGCTGAGGGTCCACCCTGAGGGACAGGGCTGAGGGTCAGCGCTGAGGGGTCAGCCCTGAGGATCAGCCCTGAGGGACGAGGCTGAGGGTCAGTTCTGAAGGTCAGCACTAAGGGCCAGACCTGACGGACAGGGCTAAGGGTCAGCCCTGAGGATCAGCCCTGAGGGACGAGGCTGAAGGTCAGTTCTGAAGGTCAGCGCTAAGGGCCAGACCTGACGGACAGGGCTGAGGGTCAGCCCTGAGGGACGGGGTTGAGGATCAGCACTGAGGGTCAGCCCTGAGGGACGGGGTTGAGGGTCATCCCTCAGGTGAAGCCCTCAGGCGAAGCCCGCCAAAAATAACGGACACCCGTCCGCGCGCTCGCGCCTCAGCCGGTGCGAAAATGGCGGGAAGGTGAAGCCCCGTTCCCGGCCGCTGAGGGCACGGCGGGAGCGGCCGCGCCCGGCTGGGGACACAGGAACCCTTTAATCACCCCCTCACTGAGATTTCATTAATTACTCCGCCCCCGAGGAACCGGTGTAGTGTCATCCTCAGAAAGCAGGGCAGGAGCTGCGTCTGCAGAAGTGTGTGGATGCAAATGTGGTGTAAATAAAACTAAAAGCATTCTTCACCTTGTTTGTCTTTTCAGCTTTTACACATGGCTGGATCCTGTCTAAAATCTGAGTGTTTGGCACAACTAGATCTTGTCCTGTTTTAATAAACCTTTCCTTCAGAAGCACTCCCAAAGATCTGTATGTAGCACATCAAAGCAATTTGGATTCTTACTAAACTAAATATCCCACATCCTTTTTCAGAGTGTGAGTGTTGGCAAAGCACAGGAGTAAGGGACGCTTCCCAGTGTTTAACCCTGAAGAGTGGAAACTTTCCATGTGAATTTCCATTCATTCCAGGCAGGTCAGGTGCTGGAACACCAAGAGTTAAAGGGTTTGGATGGGAACTACTCTAAGGGGATAAAAGAAACTTCCATGGGTTTAGTTCCTAAACTCATGTTTGGAAATTCACTGTCTCTGTCCTGAAAACACTCTTAAGAGACAAACTTCTTGCATGTTAATTAAGTGCACAGACATCTCTGTGTTTCATTCAGCGCTTTGGAAGGAATTACAACCATTACAGTGCCAGCAGGAATAAAAGATAAACTAAATGTTCCAGCCCTGCACGTTTGCATTTTGCTGTTTACTCTCCAAACTGCTGCTGTGTTTAAATTCAACAAACCCAGATTCAGAGTGTGAGTTGTGTTTTTGGGTGTTGTGTCACTCCCCATTCTGGCACCACCACTGAAGAGAGACAGGGGTCAAAGGACAGTACAGACTGTCCAGTGCTGTAAAATGCACCTTTACTGCTTTGTTTAATAAATTACTCATTCTGATTAAATATCTGACAGCTCCTAAGTGCAGAGTAATACAGCTGAGTGTTTAAGCAAACAATCTTTCTGTATTAACTCACTGTAAGCTACAGCAAAATCTGAATGCGTGAACCAAAACAAAGAGAGCAACTTCTGTAGAAATTATATTCCTGGCAGAACTATCCTAGATAAATCCTGTGCTCAGCTTTTCCTAGACCTACAGTCTGTCAGCTTGGGATATAAAACCTTTCAGGCACTGGCCAAATATTCTTTCAGTCACTGGAGTATAATCTTAATAAAAAAAGAATTGTTCAATAAACATTCTTTATTCTCTTGCAATCTAATATTTGTTATGTTTATAACATGAGTCATATACCAATTGCAAATACTTCTGTCGTTTACAGCAATAAAGCTTATTTTTCTGTTACTAAGTCCTTTTATTCTAAATGTTTTGATTCTCAGGATGGAAGTTACAGCTGCTCTTTGGCTTGAGCTTCAGACGCCTTTCTGAATGCTTTTGGAAATGGAAGAGAAGTTGCTGACTAAAGTTTTTTGGGGAGAGAACAGAACTATTGTCCCATCGTGGTCTAGATCTGTTTCCTTTTTAATAAAAGACTGGAAAAGTTAGAGGGCTGTCCCTGGCAAAGTTGTTTCAATGTGTTAGAGGTCTGTGTTAGCAGATCCCAAGATAGAACTGGAGCCAGAACTCTCTGGGTAAGTCAGTCGTGGATAAATTGCACTGTAATTTCAGCTTGTGTTCCTTCTAATCACTGTTCATAGGATTTCTAAAACAAAAAAGGTCAGACAAGCCACAACATGCTTTGAGGAACTTAGCTGTTCTTTGGCTTTTTTTAGATGAAAATACTTGATGTTTCAGCATTGTGTGCTGGACTAGAGCCAAGATACAGTTCTTATTTTGCTGATTTTGCTCACTTTAAATAATTCTGCCCTTATATAATATAATACTTCTGTAACTTCAAACATACATGAGACTACCTGTTACACCTATTTACAGTGCAAAAATGCCTTGATATTTAAGTGTAAAACCAGTGTTTTCCACTGTTCATTAGCACAAGATTTCCCTATAGATCATACATTATAAATACTGCCCAGAGTTAACTTTTGGACTGTGGAACAGTGCCATTAACAGCCTCGGAGATGTTACTAAATACAGAAACTGAAGGGGAGGCTCCTTGGGGAGGGAGGTTGGAAAATCCCGCCTCAAAACTGAGTTGAGAACTGTTGGGAGAAATCCACTCACTTTCTTTTTGCGTCTGACCTGACCAGAAGAAAGACTCTCCTACTGGAAAGAGTTTATTATTTTATTTTTTTCCCCCCTCAGAGAGAAAAGTTTTCCTTGAGCATGAGTTCCCCGTGTGCTCGGGTGAGACGGGTCGGGCTCTTCGGGGGCACTCACGGCAATGAATTATCGGGGGTGCTCCTGGTCAGGCACTGGCAGCAGGATGGAGCCGAGATCCAGAGGGCAGGAGTGCAGGTGAAACCATTCCTCACCAACCCCAGGGCTGTGGAGAGGTGCACCAGGTACATTGACTGTGATCTCAACCGGGTTTTTGACCCCGAGAGCCTTGGGTAAGAGCAGCTGTGTTTTCTCTTGTTCTGCTTTTCTGGGTTTTAAAATTCTTTCCGGATTAAAATGTTGAGCACAAGTTCCCCTACTACTTTAACAGTGCAGTCACATAACTGAAATTACTGACCTTTAACCCAAAAAAAAGAACAAATTGCATGTGTTAACAGACTCACTTCTATTGCTGGTAGAATCAGTCTCAAACCAACACATTATCTTAAACATAATTTTAAATCAGCATTAGATGAGCTGCATTTGTGTGAATTGGAGTACCACTGTTCTTAGTCAGAGTCATCATTTCTCATGTCTTGTGCAATTCAGTTTGGGAGCTCTTCTGAATACAATTAGATTTCTAAGAAATAGATAAAAGCAATTAAACATGGACATCTGAGTATCTGAAAGAATGGCACAGAAATCAGGGAAGTGTGTTTCATTCCAGTTATGTACAGTAAAAGGTGAAAACTTGAAATTAAAAAAACTTGAAGCTAGAAATAATCTATTCTAAGGCAAAAGCATAGCCAAAAAACTGAATAATTTAACTGACCCTTTATTTTAAAATAAATACTGTCGATAATTACTGTAAAATAGTAACTGATTTCACATTTTTAATAGGATTTGATGGTTTTGTACTTTTGAGACATCTATTCCAGAGGTGTACTTTGCTATATAAACATTCTTAGCATAGCTTCTAACCAGGTAATTCTGTTTCAGAAAAGTTTTAATGGCACAGGTGAATATCACAGAAAGGAATATACTTACTGTATATATTTACAGGCAGTTATTCTTACCCTACACATCTTCCCATCTGGCTTTTCATCTTAGAATTTTGTTGTTAATTATTACATGTAAGATGTGCAGATGTTAACACATAAGTATTGAGGCCATTCTTATAGTTGTTTACTTTGGAAAAACATACTAAAAAAAAAAAAAAAAGGGGGCTCTGTTTGGTTTCAGCTGCTTTGAACACAGAACACTTGAAAAAACACCAGATTAAGCCACCTGCAGGTTTCCTGCATATTTAGCTACTATTTCTCAGTAAATACTGTGAAGTTGCCTGGTTCTATTTCAGCACTAGTGAGTGTTTGAAGTACCCGCCCCTGGTCCCTTAAGTGTAGAACCTTCAAAATCATCAATTATTTTACAAAATAAGAAAAAGGAGAGTGAAATCTTGATATTGCTGAAATCAGTGGTGTAAATCTCATTGGCTTAAATAAAAAGTATTAACACTTTTATTTGAAGAAATATTGATTTCAAAGGCAGAGCTAAAGAACAGAAAGGTGGATGATACACATATGATACACAGAGTCTCCTCAAATTACAAATATTAAAACTTTGGAGGAACAGATTTGAGGA